TCAACTTATATCTTATCGTTTTAAAATCTGGACGAAGCTCCGGATTTTCTGACCAGCACTCGAGCAAACATTTACGAACGAAATCGAACGTATTATCCAATTGATCCAATGGTGGTCTATCATTATTTTGAGAAAAAAAGAACATTTCTTCAAATTTTTTAATAAAAATTATAAAATTATATATTTTTTACAGTTATATTTGTAGCTTACCTAAACGGTGATATTTCATAATCTGGGTTTTTTACTCTTTTTAATATTTCATCTGTTGATAAATCAGTGATACCGAATGGTCCATGTCGCCCTTGTAATTCGTATAAAACTATGGCGAATGAATATACATCCCCTTTTTGCAAATCACGAACATTTAGCTCCCGGAGAGAAGTACAGCGTAATAACTCAGGTGCTTTGTATAGCAACCCTAATACATGAAAGAGAATTAAATATAGGGGAGATTTATAAAATCCGTATTGATTGCTTAAGCCTGAAAGCTGGGTTCTATTCAAGCTTACAGACCTGTCAAGCTGTAAGCTTGGATAAGATGCTTGTACGGTATTACTGTTTTTGTTACTTTTTTCGATAATAATTATTTTTTTACTTCAAATATCAATCAATCAACGAATTAAACATTTTGCCGTCCCTAGGCACAACATCACCTAGGTGACTTTTTTTTTTATTAATTTCTAAATTTGATAAAAGGACAAAGGATAACATGATTTATATCCTTGCATTAGCTAGTAAAAACATTCAATAATCCTTAATAAGTAATATAAATATAATACATTTTTAACTATATATTTAAAATATCGTTTCTGATAATTTATCAGTGATAAAATATGTTCGGTGTAACTCATGCAAATACAAATTAAAAATTTATCTCAACTGTGAAAATTTTTTGTCTTGAAAAATTTGCCGCCTCAAATTTGTTACCTTAGACAAGTATTCTATTTATGTGTTAATTTGTTACTGATATTATTATACAGAATTTAAAAGATTTATTAGATAAGTTTGATATAAAAAATATAAAAATTGCTATATAAAGACTAGAATTTAAAGATTAGAATATAAAGCTTAGAATTTAAAGTTTTAATATTGATTGTTATAATTTATATTGTTTTATTAAATAATAATTTTAAAATCTGTTTCACTTTAACATTACAAAAGTGTAACGAAAAAAGTAATAAATCGTTACTTAGAAAGTAATGATTCATTAATTTTTAAAATTAATAACAAATGATGATAATGAGTTACGTTTTACGCAAAGTATAAATGCATGCATTAATTTTTTGAGGTAATGTTCTCAAATGATTTTAGAATCCAACATTATTAAGATTAGCTAGGGTTTGCCGCACTTACTTTTTGTACTTTTTACAGTAATTGTAAGACGTACTGTAAGAATAAGTCAATCAGAGCTGAAATGAAAACTTTTGATAATTCTTGATTATGATTGGTTAATTTTTACGGTTTTTTTTTCGGTATGGAAAAAATTGTGCGGCAATCCTTACTCTTCGATTTATTATAAAATAAGATTGATATAGAAACAATCATATTTATTGTTAACAGAAGAATATTTATTTTACTCTTAAAAATTTTAAATCTGAAATAAAATGATCTTGAATATCGGTTTGTACCAAATATATGGCAACAGCATCATGCATTATAACATATTGCGTAAAGATTTATACTAAATGCAAGAATATATAAATTTATATTTATATTACTCTTGTCTTATTATCTGAACACAATAATAAATCGATCTTATTTAATTCGAAGAAGGAGAATTGTGATTATTCATTTTTATGATTTTAATTTTGTTATTTTTATTTTTATACTATAATTATACTAAAATTATGATAAGATTAAGTATGTCAAGAATATTTTTTTATTTTGTTACCAAACAAGATAAAATGTGTTTGAGTACTTGTAAACGTATCACGTAGCAGCGATTGCCACTCACACGTCATAAAACAAGTGCTTGAAACATAATAAAACAATAATTTGTAATATTTATTTGCAAATCACAATGGAATCATTTTTATTAAATCATACCAAGTGGAAAATATAATTAAAAATATTATTTGAGTGGTACCCACATTCGACATAACACTTCTCTATATAGACTTTTTTCATTATAGCGGATATTGAATCGATTTCTTTTATTTTGTATAATTCTTAATTCACAAATTAAAAAAGATTATGAAAAAAGAAGAATTTAATAACAGTTAAAATTATAAAAATTCGAAAGTATAATTATTCAATCGGATGTAAAAATTTTTTTCAGCTTACCATGGTTTGTTTTTATGACGTTAGAATTACGTTCCTCATTTCGTTTAAATTCATTCAGCCCAAAATCCGTTAATTTTACGACCCACCGTGAATCCACAAGACAATTGGAAGAACTCAGCGATCCGTGATACTTAATTACCGATTCGTGCAGATAGATCATACCCTAAACGATTAGACAGAATGGCTACCGTCCAATCAAACAATTAACAGTTGTTAAAGATACATAATTTGTACGTTTTGGCTCAAATTTAACTCATCTTCAATCTTAAAATATAATAAAAAGTAATCTTACATTCTTCACTGTGCATAATAGAAGCGGTCCTGGATTTTCAAGTTAAATATAAGCAGTCGCAGCCGGTTTATAAGCCGAGTAAATATATTATAAACTGTTGTGTAATCCCTTTTATGCTCATTTTTACCAATATAGATTGACTTTAATCTCAGTTCAACTTATTCTTTATCTTTTTCTAAAGATTAGAAAAATATGAAGAGTAAGTTGAACTATGATTAAAGTAAATCTATCTACATTGGTGGAAACAGGTATTAAAATGTTATAATAGTCCATTATATATTCAGTTTATGAACCGATTAACTGACACTTATTTAACTTGAAGATGAAGATTGAATCGTTTTTGTCACATGCGATAGAGAATATAAGATTAATATTTTAATATATTATTAGCTAAAGTTTATATCGCTTATTTGTATATAAGTATTCCTACCGCTATTTTCGTCGCTGTTACTTAATATGTATCTACCGTCCGGATCTACAATAGAGTTTTAAGCCTTAAGTTGTAAGAAATTGACCAATTACAGTTAAATTTGAGAAGAATAATCGACTATGATTCGTCTATTTCTTATGGCTTAAGGTTTAAAACTCTATTGTAGATCCGGGGTAAGACTTTATACTCAAGTCTCTTCCGTACTATGAGCCGAGCATTAGGGATTACCGAAAAGATAGAAGATCTCTTTACTAATGACGTGTTTGTTTAGTACTGCTCTGAACTTTAACATTTTCTCAATAAAGTCTTAGTCCATACATTTGCATATTTATTTCGATGTAATTAATGTGTTGTATCACTGTGTTTTCCGCGAATATGAAACGAGCATGCGTATCGGATATAAATTTTGGATCAATAACTGATGGTCCGAATCACATATAGTACGGGAGAAACTTCGACACGCACTTCGACGTAACAATGTCTTAAAATTGCTGAAGATGGCTCGTAATTGAGCCGAAACATTCAAATTATGTATTTTTATATAATAAATTGTGTTGGTTATTTTATTTTTGAGCATCAAGAACTGCGCTCGATTTTTATTAGCCTTTCTTTTTAATGTTTTAATGTAATGTAATATAAAAAGAAAAAAAAACAATTTTGAAACTTGTCTACATTTTCTCTAGTCATAAACTTTTTTTTTCATGTTACATTGCATTTAGCAGTTTGATGCTGTACAAAAAAAACATCTCTTAAAATGAACATAGTATATTTTATTAAGATAGTACACTCGCGAATTGAAAATAGTAAGAATTTCTTTAAATTGAAACTATACTTGTACCAGGAGACATTAACACGCAATTACAATGAGAATGATCATTTCAATACTGAGATATAAACAATTAAAAATTGTACGTTTTATACGTATCGCCTATGTAAAGTTCATGAAAATCGCATTTATTTTTTATTATTTTATTGTCTAAACTAGCAATGATATATTAATGAAAAACGAGCGTGCGATGGAGAAAAAAATATTGTTAAAAAATATTATAACCTTTACGATTTAATTTGGAAAATAGGATTGTGAAAAGAATGCAATTTTTAATTTTATTTGAAGAAACGATGTTTATAAAGATGACTGGAAGGAGCCAATGAGCGTCTGGTGTCGCACTTCTCGCACATCATCGCATATGCCGCGTGTGATGTACGTGTTGACTGGAGATTGACATAATCAAAATGTACCGATAAGTAATGATCAAACAATAGATGATCGGTCATATCAGTGCATACTGTGGAGAACAACATTCACAATTAGTTTGTAATTACATTCCGCTTGAATACAGTTACTTACGGGAATGCTTTAACACGGTTTTTAGCTATACTATCTCTACAACAATTGGTCTATGATTTTGAAGGAACACACCCCCATACTGCCATTATCATAGCTCGGGACTTTTATATCGATGACACGATTACAGGAGAATCATCGATGCAAGAACTTTTTAAAACGAAAACTCAAGTCACCGGCATTTCTAAAAACTGTTTTTATTTATCAAAATTTTGTTCCAACGTATCATTTAATCCAGAGGGATGTTTGAATGATAATTGTAAATTAAAAAGGTTTGCCATAATCTAATTAATCCATTAGAATTGGCCACATATATCGTTGACAAATGCGATTTGGTCAATTTCAATCGTCGATTGAAGTTAATCGGAGTTGATCGAAGTGAATGAGAGTATCATCACCGAGTCCGCAATGAGACTTTTGAATGATATTATTATGAGTGTACTATCTTAATTAAACAAACTTTAAGAAGAAGAAAATGTAAATTTTATGAAAACGAAATTTTTAATGAAACTTACTCTAATAATGTCGCCGATAAGAGACGAAATGACCATATTATCGAGGTTCAGATCTTCGTTCTCCAATATGTCCTGAAAAACATTGACGGAAATTTAATCAATAAATATATACAATTAGTATTTTGTAATTAAAAAAATTACTGAAAAAATTTACTTTGAGACTACCACGTGCACAATATTCGACGATGACGCATATGTTAGGTGGTTCGATACAAGCACCAATAAAGGAATTCAAGTTATCATGTCTAATGTCGCGCATCTGAAAATACATTCTTTTAATAGCAAGTAAATTCTTATTATACTTGCTTAATAATAGTTGTTATATTGTAATTTCAAATTTTAAATTAAAACTTTTGACGTTACCACTTTTAGTTCTCTTTTCATCTTTTCCGTGATCTCAATCGATTTTTTTCTGATTTTTTTAACAGCGAAAATTTGACCTTTATACAGTCCGATTTGTGTATAAATCGTCGAATATCGAAAATCCGCATCTGTATTAGAATTTAGTGACAATTGACTTGTTCGCTTTTCTGTGTATTCCTTGAATTGAATATCTTTATAGTTAATTTTCCAAAGCAAACTATCTATCTCTTGTTCGTATTTCCAATTTTTATAAAAAAATAAGATAATCATTGTAACAATGAACAACAATGTGCCAAGGATGCCCCCTATAATTTTGCCAGTATGAGCTGTAAACAAACATCAATTCGTATTATTAAGAATTGTTATATAATTTTGGTTCAAATATCGTATTAATTATTTATTAAAAATATTATATAACATTAGCATATTATTATTTTAAAACTACTTTTATATAAAAATATTGTAATTTAAAAAAATTTTGGGTGTACTTTTTAGCTCCTGTTTTTTGATCATAATTTTATCGTATGTATCTTGAAATGTGATGCTAAGCAATAATATGTTAGCAATGAATAAAACTGGATTGCAATGTCTGCAATATTTCTTTAAATATTGCAGCAAAATTGCAAAATATTGAAGAGTACAACAATATTTAATTTTTGCGGACATGTAGGAATGTAAGTACAATGTTGCAATCTTTCAAAGTGATTTTGTTGCAATATTGCTGTAATATCAATTATTCGAATTCAATCTTGATTATCCGATTCCCCCCCCCCCTCTCCCATTATTTAATATTGCCTTAATTTTTATACTCACAGTAACATTTTTCGCCATAGTATCCACAATAAGGCTCTGCAATCGGTGGTCCATTTCCGAGCCATTGTATTTTTCTATTTAACTGAAGCTTCTAAACATTTTATTGGGAATTGAATATGAAGATAATTTGAAATAATTTATAATAGATATAATAAAGCGTTATTTATATTAGACAATTTCCATATGGGAAAAGATCGATGACACACATGTTTTTCCTTGTTTTTAAATTTTTTGCAAATTAACAATAATATTCTTTAAAATTAAAAATAAGTTATTTCTTAAAAATCTGTAATTTAATTAATAAAGCAGAATATATTTTACATTATATCAAAATATGTAATTATCTTACACATTTGATAATATTAAACTTTTGTGGCATCATAATTAGTTAATATAAAATTAATAATAATAAATATTTTTTTCGTTTTAAACAAAAGGTAAAATATTGCGATAATGATTTGTAGTTTGCTTACTGGCAAATTTGTGTCTTGTTCCTTTCCAATGAAATACCCAATAGGATAGAGACCATAGCCTTTTACAGGTCGATTGTCCAATGCAATTAACGTGTAATTACCTTCAGCGTCTCCATTCTCATCCATGTATACCAAATATCTATAGAAGAGTGTGCAAAAACGCTCTTTTTAATTCTATCAATTAGATAGAATAGCAGTACATTAAAAGTTAATTCTAATATTCATTTATAATTGTGTTATTAAAAAAATTTAATGTTAGCAATATGATTAATAATATCTCAATATATTTTATAAAATAGAATTATAAAATATATTGAGATATTATTAATAATACTAATTTGTTTAATATTTATTATAAATTTTCTTTGCAAATGCGAGTTTCGTTTAAAGCTGGTTCTATATTAGTTGCATCGCAGTGTCACAAGCGTTACAGTCCAATTAACATCAAGTTCAATTCAACTCTGATTGGACCGCAACGCATGCAATACGCTTGCGACGCTATAATAAATGGAATAATAATTATTTTTTTATTTGGTGTGTATGCATGTTTTATCAACATGTTGATCAATATGTCGGGCTGCTTTCTTTAGTAAACATAGATTTACAAAATGTATCAATTTTATAAATGTAACTGATTGATCACGCGCGCCTTCTAGAGAAGGCAGCTCGACGTACTGATTAATATATTGCAATACGTGATACACACACAAAAAATCAGGCGTACAAAACAGTTTCAAATCCTCATAACAAAAGGTATTCATTATTGCAAAAGACTGTTGCGAATGAATGATTGAAATATCTCTCGGAACGATGATGAACGATTGAAAATATTTCTCGGGACAATTGCTTTCATAAAGCACAGAATATTTGTTTTATTCATATTTAATCGGATGAATCTTTTTTTATTGATGACAGTCTCACCTGTTGAAAGGGGACGTATAAAAATAAAACTTTAAACACCGAACCACAAATCTTTTTAGCACGGCGATCGCGAATGAATAATTTAGCTTCTTTAACGATCTCTTTATGTACAGTAATTATCAAAAATACATTACGCGAGCATGGGTCCGCATGAAAGTTCCCCCTCCCCCCCTCCCTCTATCTCTCTTTCTACCATTTTCAGTCGATTTTTTTGACGAGAAATTACCGCAGGTGATTTTCTCTCCTTGTGAGATATTTGATTTGTATGCCATATAATAAAAATGTTATGATATACGACAAACAATTGTCCTCATGCCCTTATTTCATGTTTTCTCATAATACATACCCCATAGCACTTTGGTAATGGACTCCGTGCAATGTGGATACCAATTCTCGTCCGTTCCTTGGGTTTTTCTTTTCATCTAGTGCCCGCAACAATGTTCTTTCATATAGATGCACTGCATCATATAGATACGCTGTCTCCGGCACTATCTACATGTTACATAAAATAACGTTATAACATAAATTATGCTTTGGGAGTGATTTCAGCCTATTAACATTACGTTTTATACTAATTGTATGTTATAGTGCAATTAAAACGCGGAGCGCGCACTTAATTATCATAATCATTCACATACCAACGTGTTGTATTTTAAAATTATAAATATCACCTGTTCAACATGCAAGGGACGTTTGCAAGCATTTACAAAATTATCACAATCATTCGCTCTATCATTATCATTTCTTTTTGCTGAAGACAGCTCGTCAATTCAATTTAATCCAAATCACGATATCTACCCTATTGATATTCATAATTTCAAAGTACATCATGTTGGTATGTGATTATGGGTAAATGAAAGCGCGCTCCGCGTTTTAATTGCGCTGTAACATACGATTAGTATAAAACGTTGTAATGTTAATTTTTTTAATTTTTGTATTAATTTTGTATAAATTTGTGAAACGAATAGCTTTTTTGTTAATGAATCGCTCTTGGAAAATTACAAAAAGACAATTTAAAATAAAAACATTTTTTACAATATTTTGTATTATTGACAATACAATATATTCTGCTAATTATAAGAAGGAAAATTTGTAAACAAGATAAATGATTGAATCATCTTTTTAAAATATATTACAAAAATGAAAAGAATTAAAAGTTAAATAATTGAAGTCGAAATTCTAATTTTGTCTTGTTAAAATCTCCAAATTCAGGGTGTTTCTTCAAAATTTTTATCATTTCTGATAGTCACCTGAACTATTCCTCCGACATTTGCTGATGGATTCGTAAAATTGAATGGTGGCTTCTCTCTATACTTGTTAACCAGTCGAGTGAAATTCATATAATTGATTGGGGCAGAGGCAACAATGCTGAAATAACTTCGATATGCTCGTACTATTGAAAAATCCATGTTTTTTTGTAATAGCCCTTTCAGATATTTATTCGGATGTTTCTCATCATAAAACTCAATATCAATACCAACGACAAAATATTCGCCTACGATAAGAAATAATTAAAAATAATATTATTTAAATAAGGAAATGTGCGCGCGCGAGAGTAAAAAATAGTTATAAAATTAATAAAGTATAAGTTGAAAAATAAAATTATACAAAAAAATTATATATATTATATATGAAATT